TTAAGAGGTGCTTTACCATTTTATCCATTACAGATTTCAATATTTTCACAAAGGGTACAGCCTGTTCGCTTGCTTGTAAACGATCGTAAATTTCCAGCCGAGAACAGTGTTTTTCTCTCACACCAAACCAGCCAGCAGTAAATAATCCACGATACGATACGGCCTCCCGAACAGGCTGATAATATTAAGTATATGAGTGGGAGGGTGGACGTTGATGATAGTGGTAGAGTATGGTGGTGGGGGAAGGAGTAGCTAGGACTTGCCTTCATTGTTGTCACCTTCAGGATCGTCTACGTAGTCCGGATCCTCACTTTCTTGATACTCACCGTCTGTCGGTCGCGGAGTGGTAGGCGGCGCTCGGGCGGTCAATCCGCGCCGGTTGGTGGGGTTCCCGGCGTCGGCGGGTGCTCGGCACGTCGGTGGCGGCTCGCTAGAGCTACTGCGGCGGCACCGTGCGGCGAAAACGGCCCTAGTGGCCCTAACTTTAGTAACTGGCTACGTGTACGTGTGTGCGGGTGTGAAGTGCATATGCTAGGGGGTCGTGGAGTCTAGCCGAGCCTTGCCGTCGGTCCGCCGGCGATCAGGCGGCTTGGCGGAGCTCTGCGCTCGGGGATAACGTGGCACAGAGGGAGAGAGAAGAAAACAAGTGACCGAGGAGGTGGAGGAGGGGCTCTAGGGCTCACCTGCCTCTCCAATCAGCCGGCGATGCAGCGAGGAAGAAGAGAGAAGGCGTCGGCTCCAATGGTGATGGCAGAACCGATTTGGGGGAAATCGCCCTAGCACGCTATTGAGAGAGAGAGAGAGAGAGAGAGAGGAGTGGAAGGGGAAATGTTGTGTCCTAGACTACGGTGAATCTATTGGTGGTGCGACCGGAGCGGCACCGGCTGGGACTATTCATAGGCTGGCACGATGGCGCCAGCGGCGGGAAATATCTCCCGACCGTGGAGATATTTCACCGCTCGTGCATGTGTTGAAACCCTAATGTTGTTCGCCACAACGCAACCTTATTCGTGCTCTTGTCTAGGAGCTCGGAGCTCGGCCATGGCGCAACGGTCGAGCGAGCTGGTGCTTGTGGCGTGGCCATGGTGGCGAGAGAATGAGGAGAAGAGAGAGAGGGAGAGAGGGGGTGGCGGGTCCGAGAAGCTTCCGGGAGCTCGTCGTTCTTATCCGTTGGCGCCGGGGTGGAGCGGGCAGCGGCGCGGCGAAGGCGACCTGCCGTCGACACGGTATTTGAGTCGATGGTGAAGGGTAGATGACGGCGCTGACGGGCGGGGTCCGCGTGCCAGCGAGCGTGAGAGAGGAGAGGGAGCGGGCGCGGTGCGTGGCTAGGCTGCTGCCGGTGCCGGCCCACGCGGGAGAAGAGAGGAGGGAGGCGGGCTGAAGGTGGGAGGAGGGAGAGAATGAGCCCGGGTGCTCTTTTCCTATTTCCATTTTTCTCTTCTATTTTCTAGATTGAGTTTGGAGATGAATTTTGAATCCAAATTTGTTTGAGATGTTTTTAGAAAATGTGTACCACCATATGTTCAAACAATCAATCATATCAAACAATGATCACTCAGGTTGTTTCTATTTGGTTGCTTTATTTATTTATGCTAGGTAATTTCCTAAATGGTTAAGTTAATTCCTATCTAAGTAATTTACTCCCTTTTTGAGTTAGTGTTTATTTGTTTTAGGTAAGCTCTCAAAAAGTTCAAATTTTTAGTGATTTTTATTTTAGGGTCAAAATTCAGGGTATTACAATAGATGCGTCATGGACTTCCTCACAGGATCCACATCCATTCATCTAATGGTTAGATGTGAAAAATACGCAACTATGCATAGGAGAAATAGCTACAAATGAAGGCCATTTCCATTTCATAGAGAATAACATGCCTCTTTCTGCGTTGCTTTCAATTCACATGCAAAATCCAACTGTTCCCTCTTGCTGTGGCATGGCACTAGTGTTTCACCGTTGTCTACACTCACTGGTTCGATAGGGACGTGTAGTGAATGAATCATACTATCCTTTTTGTATCAACTTAAACGAATCTTATATTGATCGAATAATTTAGCCCTGTAAAACGATTGGCCCCGTAAATGTTTCAACAGTTTGAATCCCAAATAAAAAGTATGGTGTGAATATGTGATGGACGAAATATTACATACATCGACAAACAACTGCTTTTCTGCCGATATCGTTAGGAATTGGACACAGCTACAATGGAGGCTCAGATCCAATTAATTCTTCCTCGGATTCTCTATTTCTCTCTCTAGGTCACTGAAGAACCGTTGCAACACTTCGATGGCAAGGACAGACAGTCTCATTTCTGAATAGTTCCTAATCTATGTTGAGGCGTACCTTCCATTTTTTTTCTTTTTCCTTTTTTAGGGGCCATCTCTAACCTTTGGCTTTCGAAAATCCTGCAGCATCTAGCTGGCTACTCAAAAGCATCAACATAGTGCCAACGTACCCATATATGCTTGGACACAAAACAAGCGTATGGTGGACAGTTGCTCATTATATTTGTCCAGTGCAAAAGCAGAACATACGAGGCACTTCGCTTCCATCTATACACTAGTCCGATCCATCACCCTCTCTCTATCTCTTTCTCTCCCTCTCTCTCTCATCAGTCATTTGGTTCTTCAATCTGCCTGGCTATCTCCTAGTGCCGCCAATTCAACTCAACTAAGGTACGTACATATGCAACATAACTCCTTCCGTCAACTTTTATTCTTTGTATGATGCATCCATTTATTGTGCATGTATGCATGGAATGAACATCCTATTAATTTCTCTTAGCTTCATTCTTGTCTGTTCACCAGGAGAGCTAGCTGAGAGAGACTCAACACACCATGGGTTAGATCCAAAATACAAATTGCAATGATCTGGTGAAACTGGCTATTTCTGCAAGCCATAGTGGCTACACTAAACAGATTCTATCCGTCATGCGTACCGAGGTAAACCACTAACCTCATCTGTTCCTTTGCAGTAGGCATATATATTATATTAATAGATTCCAAATAAGCTTCAGATGTTGACATACACAATCAGTGTGGCATTAACAGATAGTTGAAAGAGAAAATCTATCTATATAACTTTGAAGCACTAAGCATGCATATATATTAACTTATTGTTTGTAAAACTTATGCACTTTGCCTATTAAAGATCATAACATGCTTACTAGAAAGAAATGGAGGGAGTAGCATTCTCAAGCAATCCCTCAGGGTCGTAAGTTGCAAGTCACATGATTTTCGCATGTGTGCGGCTGTGTAGGATCAAACTTACAACCTCAGGCCACACAGATTACGTCTTACCACTCCACCTCAAAATTATTTGTGACTAAGCTGATGATACGATCTTTTTTATTCACTTTGAACGACTATTTGAGACCCTAATCGAATTCAAATGAATAAAGTACGAACTAAAACGTTTTAGTGGTAATGCATTTCAAAAACTAAAAACTTAAAATACAATTTCATGGTATAAAATGATTTCGAATGAAAAAGTCATCAACTATAAAGTTCAAGATCTCTTCGAGTGGTACAACATTGGTTTATGCCGTTACTCCATCCAAGGTCATTTGCAAAATAAAAATAGTTCAAGATCTAAAACATTGCAGATCTATTCGAGTACTACAACTTCGTAGTTGACTACTTATTCATTTTAAATCATTTAGTACGTGGAAATTTTGTTTTTGGTTTAAAGATGGTTATAAATATTTATGTGTTTTCTAAAATAATAAATATGTAAATCGCTAAAATTCATGAATAATTCATTTTCAAACAGAAATTGGACCAGACCATAATAGGTTTATTGCACTTCTGTTTTTGGAGTTCGAGGGCTAAATTTGGACATCAATAATAGTTCGAGGGCTAAAATTTGTGTTTTCCAAATTTAAAAATATTGAACACCTGGAATTATGAAAGTTTTAAACAAATTTATGGGTTTTAAATATTTTCAAATGAAAAATTGTCAACCATAAAGTTGTGGCTCTCTTCGAGTACTACAACTTTGATCTAAGTTTGTCTTCATCCGGCTTGATTTACATAAGTTAGTAATTTTACTATGCTTCACTTAATTTTAGAGACGGACCAAATTGCCAATTATCTCTAGAATTGGAATTTCTAGCTGCTTCTAAAAATACCTCCATTTCTAGACTCGGCTAGAAAGCCAAGCTACCTATATAAATGACATTTTTAGAGGCGGTTCGGCTTTCCAGTCACCTCTAAAAATCAAGGGTATTTCAAAACAATTTCTAGACGTGGGCTGGCTCATAATTCATTTTTAGAGGTGGTTCTTGATAGAGTTGTCTCCGCACTAAATGGGAGACATTTTTAAAAATGGTTTCTACAGTAGTGTGTGTCATGTTCCAAAAAAGGGATTATAATGTTAGACCTTAATTATGTATGCATGCTAGTTACCATATACACCTCTACATGTCATGTAAAAAATCATGTAACAAATAGTCATGTTAGGATATGAAAGTCATATCTAAATCATCTATATATATGTTGCATCTCGTCATATGAATCACACACTGAGATGTCATATTCCAGGGAAAATTATTACATTTTAATCACGTAAACACAACACCTGTAAATATGTGACATCATGTCACCTCTACCTGTGCGACAACACTTTCATATGCAACGAGTTAAATTTTAAGATAACACGTTAATTTGCAAGATATTTGGGCTAATTGATCTAATTGCAAGATATTTTTCCTTTTTTCTTTCTTGCACAGTATATAAATAAATATTTCTCATATTATCATCATCCATATGGCGACCCGCTGTAAATTTAACAATGCCCATCATTTCACCATTAACTTATCGTTTGTTCATTTGCGCGTCTCTGTCTGTACTACAACAATACAATATGTATGATAACGATATTAGTAAGTATATGGGGTTCGTAACTCAATGTAATTGTCCAATGTTGACTATACTGCTAAGTAAAAAGTCATAATAATCCTTGTCAAAGTGATGATCATTGCACTGCACACTGAAGAGAGACAGACATGATGTGTCCATGCTTGCAGGTCATCCAGGCAGACACCATTGAAGCAGCTGCAGAACGAATTCTCATTGAGCTCAATGCTGGCGACACTAATACTGAGAGAACCATCAACACCAGAGACAACGTGATCTACTTCGATGGCTGGGACGGGCTGGGTGCATCTGCTGTCCTTAGAGCTGTTTGCCAACGCCTTGCCACAGCTTCAGAAGCCCCAGCAGGCCTGCAGTTTGATCAGGTCATCAACATCGACTGCTCCAAGTGGGTGAACAGGAGAGCTATGCAGAGAGTGATAGCAGAGCAGCTGGAGCTTCCTGCTGAGGTTATCGATATAATAGACAGGCGTGATGAGGAGGACGACTACCGTGGTCAAGACCAGAGCTCCCGTGATGTCATACCACAAGTTGTCAGAGAGATCTACCAAAGGATACAGAACCGTAGGTTCCTGGTGATTTTTTACAATGGAAGCAATAAGGACATTGATCTAGCCAATCTTGGCTTCCCTCTGCAAGACTTGGGCTTCCATCTATACTCAAGCAACAAGGTCCTGTGGACATTTCAAGGAAGTTTCCGGCTAATGCCCATGACAAAAGTCAGCAGGGCAGCGCAGAGCATAGGAACCACAGGTGTTTTCCTATCAGCAGCCTCAAGCCAACAGGATCAAGATCCACATGTGTTCTGGTCTTATCTTGTGCTGCAAGAGGCTGCAGAACTTGTTGCTGGCAAGGATGATAGTTCTGGCATCAACGTTCAGCCAGAACAGGTTGCTGAGTGCTTCTTGTATACATTGAATCTATGTGGCATGGGCCGTCACTTCATGATGGACTATGATCTGGCAACTCATGGCTGCAATTACTGGATATGTGATGGCATCATACGTCCACAACAGAGACAAAGACATGTTGACCACGATGGATTGTGGTCAGCTGCTGAAGCTCTGCAGCGTGAGATGCAAATGGATGTGGACTACTACCACCATGACCACAAAAATTTGCCCACTCACCTTGTTAAGTTTGCTGAGATCATGCCATGCTGGACTTCTCCAACATACCGCGTCGTTCAGATCCTTGATAGGGCCACTCCTATCAGATGCAACTTTGATCATTATGACAAACTTGCTGTCCTCAAACTATCATACTGTACATTCACCTTCTCATTGCCTCCATTCTTGTGCTGCCAAAGCCTTAAATTTCTATGGCTCGACCACTGTCGGGACATGGAGAGCAGCACAGATGGAGACATGGAGAAGGCGGATGACATCCACCAGTGGATCCAAAGATTGTGGGTGCTGGATGTGCGCAACACATGCTGTAATCGCATTTTATCTGCACGGATGCTAGATTTCATGACTCAGCTAAGGGTGTTAAATGTGATTGGAGCCAAGGATTGGGACATGCGCCAGTTGCAGGGCGGCTGCCTAATATCCGCAATCTTCGAGTAACAAAGTCTACAATTCAATGTGGTACTTATATCTGGGAAGATGACTTGTTCACAGGGATGAAAAAGATGGAGGTTCTTGACCTTTCTGGAAACAAAATAATTAGCGGAAAGAGATGCATATCTGCCACGGAACAGAGCTGCAGCCTGGAGACCATCATAATTGACCAGGGATGTGTTGAATTAGAGCATATCTCCTTGACTGGGTGTTCTAAGCTAAAGAATGTACTTTTGAGAGGATTATTCGAAGAGCTTGTGAACCTTGATATCTCAGGATCAGGTGTGAAAAGGTTGGATCTCAGTGCAATGATAGCATTGAAACTTGATGAGGTCATTCTACTTGACTGCAACATGCTTTGTGCGATCCTGTGGCCACCAGAAGGAAGAAGGAAAACATATTTTGACACCCTGCGCATTCAAACCAGAAAGGAGAGTAACACACCTAGTGCAACATCAGGATTAAAGTCATCAGCATTGTCAGTGATATCTGGTAGTCGAGCACCCTCTGAATATAAGTGGTATATTTCAGTATATGATGCAAGGCTCCTCTGGTCACTTGTACCTTTGAAAGTGTATTTCGATAAGAACTTTGTACATGTCGAGATTTCCTCTCCTTGTCATCGAACTGTTGAAGTTGCTGGTAGCAGTGATCAGCATCGGCCGTGTGGAGCAGGTTCTAATAGATCAGAATCAAGAAGAGAGTCCAGAAGGTAATAATGCATCAATATATGCAGATATCGTCATTGCTGCCAAGAACCACCAGCAACAGGCGAAGGGAGACGGTCGTAAGTCTCTTACATCCATCATGTGGGCATGGCCTTGCCCACATGCTCCTAATCTTGAACCATCAACCTGCTACATGGACATACAAGACTGGCCACTGGGAACCAAGTCACAACTAACTAGTCAACAAACTGCTAAGATTACTATACCAGATTTTATATGCAACAGTACTCGCATCATGTATGTGCATGATAGCTTGTACATCACTCATATGCCTGGCCCAGCACCTTCTCTAGGAGCAGAATGGAAAAATCTTTGGTGGTGCCGAGTGGAGCGTTGCCCTGAGATGGACTGTGTCTTCCCAAGTACAATGATAGGTGGTGAAAACTGGACCAAGATATTTTACAGACTGAGGACACTATGGGTGTCCCAACTTCCCAAGGCACAGTTCATATGGAGCTGGAGGAAACACGAGATCTATGGAGCTTCATTTGAGGATCTGGAATTCATGCATGTGGACTTCTGCCCCCGGTTGACACATGTTCTCCCCTTATCTTTGGCATTGATCCAAGGACTTGGCCTAAACTTCCTAAGGACCCTAGAGATTGTGTGGTGCGGAGATCTGAGGGCAGTTTTCCCATTGGACACTGATGCCGAGAGCTACCAAGATCGACGACATCAGGCGATTACTGTGAAATTTCAATACCTTCAGCGTATTCACTTGCACGAGTTGCCTATGCTACATGGCTTCTGTGGACGTGGAAGGATGTACACACCAAACCTTGAGAGCATGGTGATCAGGGGCTGTTGGAACCTCACACGCATACCATCCGTTGGTGGTGGCCACATTACCAAGAAGGTGATGTGCGACTGTGAAAAGGAATGGTGGGACAGGCTGGAGTGGGATGGGGTGCAGGAAAATCACCATCCATCCCTATATGAACCAAGCCACCCAAGATATTACAAGAACACCTTGCTCAGGGGCTCCGTTCTCATATGAGGTACGTTTGTGGTTACAAGCCCTATGTATATATTCCAACTAGGATATATATGATCTCTGTCATTGTAATTTAGAGAATATTGTTCTGTTCCTTGGATTGCAGCATTACTCAAGTCTCTTGGAGATGAGCCATGACCAGTTTCTACTCTGTCCAGACACTGTCAGGTCCAAAGCTCAGTATCGGTTTTGTGACTCCTTTGATTTCAGCTGCATGCTGTTCTGCTTTTGCTTATTGTTTTTCAAATCCGTGATCATTACTTCTGCACCTGATTGTCCATTGTTTCAACATTACCAGCATCTGCATGGTAGTGCTCCACACTGCCATGAGTGAGCCAAAAGTTATTTGATTACTTGCAGGTTGACTTTTCCTCCCTCATTTAAGTCCTGTGTACTCTCTCTTGTGTTTCTAGTGTGGCGTGTCATTGTCAGCTTTGTGTGGACTGAATGATCACTTGATTGTAAGTTAAACATATATAAATGAGGCTGGATTTTTGTCTGTAGTAGCCGAATTCGTACGTGCCGGTACACATCGTACTAATTGTCACATGTATACGATACGAATGAGCCCATAATTGAAACCTTTCAAAACCTACCGAAGTTTAGAACTTTCAAACCTTTTAAAATTGTGCCGATCATGGCACAACAAAACTAATCAACTAAATCCGTCCTGCACGTATACACAGAGACAGGGTACTTATCGATTGTATAGCGATGCAGACCATCGGACGAGGAGAAATAGGCTTATCCTCTATGCTTTGAAGACGAATATGGCTAAAAAGAGGATTACAACAGTGACATGGGGGACAAGAGGTGAGACTCGTGTTTCACTGTACATGGGGTTTACACTACTACATAAGTGGTTTCTAGAGGCTGCCAAAATTGCTCTGTAGAGGCCGCTAGAGGAACCGCCTCTATCCATGTGTCTCTAAAAATCGTCGATTTCTAGATACAGATATGCAACCGTCTATAAAAAATCTATTTATAAAGATGGGCTGAACATGGACAGCCCCTACAGATCCCACACCTGAAACGGCTGAAGAATCGCCTGCCTCTACAAACCGATCAAAAAATATAAAAAAAAAAGTGAGCCTCACCCCGCCGGCGCGCTGGAGGTCGGATGGGCTGGTTCTTGCCCGCGCCGGAGGCTGATTGGCCCAGGCATGGCGGCGCCTGCCTATGCCTTCCTTGCTAGGATGCCTCCTGCCGCATCGCTCCCGAGCACAGCGGAGCTAAATCAAAGTTTTTACGCAAGCTTGCCTTACTGATGTAATTAACTGGTCGCACCCTACATACTCTGAAAATCGTCGAACTATAGAATTTTCTTCAAGTCGGAGCTCTCCTCAAGCATGACACCAAAGGTGGAAGAAGACAATTTTCTATAATGACGTATTTTGTATATTCATGAAAGAAATAATGAGATATATAGTTTTCGAACTTGTGCTTTCTGTGCATCTATTATTCTTACTTATGTCTTTGTTCTGTTTTCGTGATAACATCGTCCAATAACACTTTAATTTATCAGAATATGATTATCACCTTACAAAGTAGCCATTTTGAGAGTCACACGTGCTGAGCTCTCAAATTGACATACATATGACGGTGCATCAGCTTTTTATAGAGCATTGGATACATGTTGTAGCACAGGGTAATTGGCAGAGTTTGAAGCAGAGGATGGTAGGGGTTGGAAGCCTGTATCGTTCAATTACATATAAAACAGAGGAATGTCTTTCAGTCCATGATGAGCACTACAGAATTGGTGAACGCCTCATCATATGCCCACACCAAGTCACACCCCATCATATTACCATCCTTCTCAACTAGTTTTCTCGGATGCCACTCATTCACATCTTTTTGAACACTAATACCTGTACCATTTAATGATGTGACGGATGTATGTATGTATGTATGTATGTATTGGAGGATATATATGTGATGGTACAATAGCAGCTACGCAGTGTTTAAAACTATTATTAGAGAGAAGGGAGAGAAGACTAGTTAGCTCAGAGCTGCATGTGAGGGTATATAATGAGCGGAGAACCTCACTTCTCTTGCAACCTGTGAATGCAACCTGCCTGCGTGCTGTTCCCATGTCCGTAGTGCATGTGTTGAAATGATGCGGGATTGAGCTGGTTTAAGTCCATACATATCATCATTGCGAGGGGTTGGGAGCTTGTTGAAATAATATAAATTAAATTAAGTCAAATTTAGATTTGAATTATAAAACTAAAGTAAAACAAATCATATTTTATTTATAAAATCCAGTTGCATAATTATTATTCAAGTTAGAGTTTAAACCATGAAATTCCAAAGCTAGTGATATGACAAATATTTTTACTAATGCGTAGATTACATCGCCACGAATCCAACACATCTTGAATGGATCGAATCAGAGCTAAAACGAATAAGTTACGATTTAAACAAGATTTCCATTAGTAAAATAATAGATTAAATCTAATCACAAATTTTAAAAGTTGAAACATACTTAACAGTAGTATGAACATGTAGACAACGTAAATACGAACCTAACGCAATTTGAATCGTTTTTTTTTTTTTGAATTTTGTACAAAGCCACACATCTCAATAAATCAATGCAAAGGCATGTATGCTCAACAATGTTGCTACACCCTATAATAAATTTTAATTTAATGAAAAATTATTTATTTTTCTATATTTCATGAGCACAAAAATAAAAAAATACAGAATTAAATCATTTTAGCTATATTTCAAAATGAGCAAATTTGAGGGTGTTACAATTACCATTACCATACCTCGCTGAATTTTCATTAATTCGGCTCGAGCTAGAAGTAACATAAGAAGCTGAATTATGAATAGGAGCATTAGCATATGGTGCTAAATTTTGAGAGTAATTGGCTAAATAATTGGCATTGTCATAGCCAATTCTCGTATTCATCGGCACGTCTTGTGTTGAAACCACGTATTGTGAACTTATAACCGATGATTAAGGTATTGATCACAAAATTCTGTATTAGTAGTAACTATTTAATTTTCTTTATACAAGTATGGAATTAGTTATTTTTTCAACTTTACATACATTCTGTTGCAGCTCACTTGTGCTCATGTGCATCCTGACATGCTATAAGTTAATTACTGATATAATTATACACATAACTGTTATATCTGCATAATTGAGGGCAAGCTGTTTTGTTTTTAGTGGTAGATTGTGTGACGATGATTGGTGTATATTGTGTGACGATGTACGGTTGAAACCTTCTTGCATGGAGCTAATGGACTCCACTTGGCCACTTCTTCCTTAGCGTGCGTTTTCTAGGAATGCGAGGGAGCTGGACGATAACTCCGATAATGATGGATCTGGCCACCAGAGCATCCTTGGGCTTGCTCTTGACGAGGAGACATATGGCGAGTCTCTTAATCCACTAGCGCACGTTGCTGGCTATTAGCGACGTGCAAGCACAGGTTCACATGCCCAGCGTGGTTTTCCTGCCATGTCCCATCGCTGTGGGTTCCATCCCTCTCTCTCTTGTCATGCCTGATAGTTGTTAATTGACGCTAGTTGAATACACAGATTTCCACACGCCATTCACACTGTTGGTTCATAATAGCACCAATACAAATAAAAGATAAGCCGACAGTAAAGATGTTTTCTGTGCTAGTGCCTTCAGCATTTGAACCTCTTCCTATAGGCTGGTATTGATCACACGATGTTCTTTGTTAGAAGCAACTATTTAATTTTGTCTATACAAGAATGGAATTATTTACTTTTCTCAGCTTTCTTTGCACTTGTGCTGACGTGCATCCCCTTGCTCCGTCCTGCAGACCATGTTGTGGCTGGAGCATGGGCTCTGGAAAGCAAGTGTCACACATGGCTAATGGAAAAGCAGCTCCAGCTCGGTGTCTGCAGCCGTGCAGAGCGCTATGAGGTTCCAGACCTTGGCATTTGGGCCCTCCACCTTCTTAGCTCAGCACTGATGAATTCCATCCAAGTCGACACCTTGTCTCCTGTGCCTTGGCCTGAACCTTGGCTACCCAACAAGTCTATGCTCTGATGGGTGACTCAAGTCATCTGAACAATGAATTCTCCAGGATGTTAGTACGTGCAGATACTATGGGTGTCCGTGTAATCTCATCGTCTAGCCGAAGGCGCTTCCTGCAACAGACCGTTGAAACAGGGAAAAAACATCTTTCCTAGCTTCATTTGTCGCCTGTTTCCGTGATGCGTCCCATTTCCATAATGACCAAACTTGTATAGCCGAGCCTACCAGACTTTTATAAATATATAATATTTGTCTTGTCTAGATATCGCCATACTGGATATATGTGTTTTTCTATATAGAATGCTAAACAAGGGTGTATGATCGATGCATAGGGCAGGGGATGTGACTCCAATATATGCAAAGGGCCGCGGCCTATATATAGTGAGAAGATAAAGGACTCATACTATCTAAACAAACTACTTACAACACGTGCAGGTGATGCAGATACAGGAAGAAAGCTCCGTTTACAAAAAAAAAATAAACACTTCGTAATTTAGGTCTGCGTATGTCCAATGTATAAATTTTATTTATTGTTGTCTGGCCATCTTCCTCGCCTACTTTATATAGTGAATATGTACGAGGACATGAATACAATCATAACTTATCAGTATAGGAAGCAGAGTCATTTTGTACGTGTGCTAACAACAGAGAATTTAGATTAATTTCCTATTTGCTTAGCTCTTGGCCATATACGAGGACATGAATACAATCATAACTTATCAGTATAGGAAGCAGAGTCATTTTGTACGTGTGTTAACAACAGAGAGTTTAGATTAATTTCCTGTTTGGTTAGCTCTTGGCCCGAGCTGCCGAGTGCAGACAACATCCCTAGGCATCCGGTTTTACACATCTGAAGCTAAGATTTGTTGACACAAGAATTACTTGGCAGGCGCTCAACCAAACACGCTCTCTGTGTACTGGATTTTGATGTTCCTCATCGTAACCATATTGATGGCTTTTGTGTTATTATTCTTATATTTGAATAGT